TGGCTACCCATGGCATACAAGTTATTACATTGTCTCGCACTTATGTTTATTGTTTCTCATGAACCATGAACTCCTTAAGCGCTAGAGCCCTTCTGTTACCATTTCCACAGCAGCTTCAAGTGCCCTTATGGATCACAGCCCTGCATTAAGGAGCTAGTCTGAATACAGCAGACTCACAATCTGTAATGGTTACTGTAAAAAAATCTCAAACTGCCTTTATCACATTTTACCAACGTGTCATAAAAGGTTCTGATTGCCTCAGGCAAGCTAAAAAAAATGGTGTTAATGCTACTGCTTACATGAAGTGTAAACAAATTAAAGTCAGGATTCTGCTCTTGTATCATATCTTAACAGCTATCCATAAGTAACTCAGTGAGTACTTCTTTGTACATATACAAGGTAACCATCTTCAATGCAGCAATTACTCAAATAAGTTTAAATTCCAGATAGTATGTAAGGGGTCCTCTCCTTTCTGGAGATTATGTACATGGAGGTTGGCACTGTGGCACAGCATGTTAAACTGCAGCCTATGACATTGGCATTCTGAACAGAGTGGCCAGCCCCTGGCGTTCTGCTTCTGATCCACTTTCCTGCTGATGTGTCTGGGAAAGGGGCCGCTGGCCACGAGCCGGGCCCCTGCTGCTCACACAGGAGAACGAGATGCAACTCCTGGCCTCAGCTGGTTAGCCCTGGCTGCTGCGGCTAGCAGGGTGACACATCGGCAGATGGCACACCTCTTCCTGTCTCTCCCTCTCTGCCATTTTACCTGTCAAATAAATGAAAAAAACCTCGTTAAAAAAAGAAAAAAAAAAAAAAAAAGGAAATGCACATTATGAAAAAGTGCCTCAAAGCATTGCCCTAAAATAAATCTCTGACTTGAGAACTAGAGTGTGCCCTCCTTGGCTGATACACTCCCCAAATGCCTGCAGTCCCACTCGGGCCTTTCCTGTGGCCCCGTCTACCCCCGTGCCACAGAGCTGGTGGCAGAGCTGGCACAAACACAGGCACCACAGGACGAAGAGTGGGGCCAAAAGCCAGGTATGACTTACTTCGCAAATCCATTTTCCACAAACTTTTTGAATTATCCTCTTATGTCCAGGATCCCATAAAAACACTCACTGTACTGGGATCAATGAAAGAGCCAAAATGCTAAAAAATATTAAAGCTGCCAAAGGACCCAAAGTAGGTACACAGTAGATGAACTTCCAGACAGCTGACTCAAGTACAAGCTGTATGAAGCAGCAGCGGTGATTAATGGCAGACGGCCTGCTAATACCTGCAAGTTTCATCAGCTAACCAACACTTACACAGGAAGGGCACAATCGCCACAGATAAACCACACTCGTGGTTCCACGGTTCTCGTTCCCACGGCTCGGGGGCTCCCTAACACGCAGGACCGGACTAACTGCCAGAGGTTCTGATCCAGTCCATCGGGGCGGAAGCCCGAACAGCTGTCCTGAGTTTATAGAACAGTGCTTTCCGTAGTGACGATTCCACAGGTGAAGACTGACCGACATTCTCCCCCTTCCCAACTTGTCTTCCACCTCCATCCCATTCACCAAGCTGGTGCATCAATTACCTTGACTTTGACCAGCCTCTTGACGGCTTTGATCTTGGCCTCACAGAAGGCACCGCGGTACTTGGCACTGACGTCCGTGCCCACGGTCAGGTAGGCCGGCTCGTCCGCCGCCTGCGGAGAGGAAGGCGCTGTGAAAGACATCGCACGGCTCCCGCCCTGGCCTCCACTTCCACCCCCTGGTTCTCTACCTACATAACTGATCGATTAGCATGAGACCATGAAAAACACTCCTGGAGCATTTTATACACCAGGCCCTGACACCATTAAGTGTTCTTAAAGTTGTGACTTAGAGTGGTTTTTTTTTTTTTCTCTTTTTCCAGGTACAAAACACTCCAAAAAACGCACAATTCACATAAGAAATGAAAAAAAAAAAAACGAAGAAAAGGCAGAGAAGGCATATTCACCTTAAATGTCTCCTAAAACTTCTAAGTTATTTATAACCTCTAAATAATTACTCTTCAATTAAAAGTAATATTGCTAACAATACATAATTAATGTTCACTGGCAACAGCCACATAAAGGTAACATCTTTTTGGACACAATCTTGCTGCACAGATAAGAAATAAAACCAATCCACTTCGGAAGGCAAGTCTTCTTGGAAACTCATTGCTAAAACCTGCATTTATGGGCTTCAGGTCTGAGTTCACTTGACAAGTGCAAATAGGAACTGACAGCTCGAAACTTGCAGCCAACCCTGGCTTACCACACTAATCTTCCTGGTATCTACCATATACAGCTTTACTGAGAAATGCTGCCTTGTAGCAATGACGCACGGAGACACACCGCAGCAGTTTCATTCTGCCATTCATTTTAATCCTGGCACTAAGCATGGTGGCTATCTCAATCTGTCCTTTCACCTGCTTTTGCCATACAAGTTCAATGCCACCTTGCTAAGCCTGGGTTCACAGAGCATGCTTTAGAGATGTTACCGAGTTAGAGCACTTGCCTGCCCTTTTCCACTAAGTTCTTCTCAGGCATATTTGAGATGCATGTGTCACTTTGAGAAAATCCGAATGCAGCAGAAAAAGTTTGGGGAAACACTTGCTATGCTGGAAGCAGGCACGTACAAAAGTGGCTGCACACACATGTAACTACACACTCACAGAGGAGTACTTCCGGCCCCTGACCACCAGTCAAGACTGGAACACTCCAGAACGCTGGGAGATCCTCTTTCTCTTGAGGCATTCACACGCTCATGTGTGCAAGATTAATGGGCGTCAGAAGGAGTTATCTGTGTGTGCGTGTGTGTGTTGGGGGCCTGCGTACACACAGACCAGGATGAGGGTACACTTATAAACACTTACTATAAACTTTAAATATTCCGGCCCCAGAAGTCTGCTTAATCCCCAGAAACACCCCACGCGTTCTCTCTGAAAATCCACATTGACCTTATGGAAGAAGACAATTTCAAAAAAAAAAAAAATCCCCTAAAAGAAGCAAAGCAGAATAAAAGCTTGACTTCTCTAGAGGTGGCTGCCGACACAGGAAGTGTTTAAAAATACGAAGCTGAATGGGTAGCGATCAGAAGGCTGCAGCCGCTTTTGCAAAGTGCTAAACCACCACGGACAGGCTGTGTGTACAGGCGGCAGGCATGCAGCGGGGCGCACGCACGGCGGTTCGCCCATTCAACACGTCCCTAGCTCTGCAAAGTGCGGCTCGGGGCCGAGAGAAAGCCGTGACCGGCCCCGGGCCCGCAGCGTTCCCACTCACCTTCATTTTCACGGGTGATCTGTGGGGTTCCAGCTCAGCGAGCTCTCCCGCTACAGAAGAAGACAGAGAAAGACAGAGAAAGACAGAGGAGAGATGGGCACCGGATCAGTCCACAGCCGGAGCAAAGTAAACAAACGGCAGCGGGGAGGGGCAAGCGGCCCGCCGGGCTCGGACCCGGGCAGGACAGCCGGGGTGCAGCTAGCACCCCACTCCCGCTCCGCCCCGGAGCCCGCCCGAGGCCCACCGCGCCCCCGCCCGCCGCTGGCCACTTGGACCGGAATGCTCAACTCGGAGCCCAGGACGGAGCGCTCGGGGGAGGGGGAAAAGGGCAGGGCGCCGCCCGGGCTGCCCTCCCGCCCCGGTCACCCCGCAGCGCAGGACCAGCGAGCCTCGGTTGGCCCGATCGCCCCTGGGACACCCCGAGTCCGGCCCGCGCCCCGCCTCCCCTCCGCCCGCCCCGGGCCCGCGGTGGCGGCCGCCGAGTGTCACGGCGCCATTGCTGTCCTCCCTTCGCTCTGCACCATGTCAGGAGGGAGAAGCCCTGGTCCAGCGTGAGGGGCAGGGGCAGGGGCCGCGGCCTTGAGCCCGGGAGCCGAGGGCGCCGGCGGGGAGACCCGCGCGCGGGGGGCGGCGGGCCGGGGGCGCGGGGAAGAGGAGGAGGAGAGTGGGAGGAGGAGGGGAGGCGGCCGGGACGGGGTGTGGGAGGGGAGGGCAGCCGCACCGCCACAGCCGCCGCCTCCTCCCGCGCCCGCCTCAACTTTTTTTGGTACAACCCGGAGAGGGACCGGCCCCCACGGCCTCTCGGCTGCTGCCGGGCTCCGCCGGGGAATCGGGGAGCCGGCTCCTCCGAGCAGCCCCCGCCGCTCCCCGCACCCAAGCAAAACTTAGCGGCGCGGCCAGCCCCACAGCCATTTTCCCGGGGAGCCGGAGGGGGGGAAGCGGCGGCGGTTCGTGCAGCCGCCGCTCCCCGGCCGGCCCCGGCTCCCCGGCACTGGCCGCCCCGCGTCGGCCCCCTCCCCGACCCCGCACCCTGCCCCAGCGCCCAAGCTCCCGACTGCACCGGGACCCCGGGCGGCAGCAGCTGCTCCTGCCGCTCGGTCCATTGAGCCAGCCCGCCGCCCTCCTGGCCGCCTACCGGCTGCGGACCGCGCGCGCTGTCAGCTCGGCCGAGTCCGGCGCGCCACGGACCCCCGTGGGCCCCCGTCCGGGCAGCGGCGCTCCCGGCCGCCGCGGCAGTTCCTGCGCCCCGGGTCCCCCCGCTCGCCCCGATTGACTGCCACAATCCACCAAATAACAAGCTGTTGAGCAGACTCGCTCCTCCACGAACTCCGATTGGCTGCCCGTGACGCCCGACCGCTTCGGATTGGCGCCCGCTCCCTGCCGTTCTCATTGGATGCAGCTCCGAAACTTCACCGATTGGTGCGCAAAACAGCAGGTAGGACATCTTCTACTTGTGATTCGCCGGCCCCGCGGACGGACGCTATTGGCCGATGCGGAGGGCGAGCGAGCAAACCCTGGCACCGCATTGGCCCGGCCGACTCCGGATGTGCTGGGCTGAGCCCTGATTGGCGCGCCGAGGGGTCAGGAAGAGCAGCTCGGCGCAGCGATTGGTGGCCGGGTGTCCCAGGGCGACGGAACCCGGACCGCAGCTGGGGGCGGGGCCATGCTCGCGAGGCGCCTGCGCGCCGCCTGCCTCCCGGCGCCATTTTGTCCTGGCGGCGGCGTCCGCGTCGCCAGTGGTTTTTTTTTCTGTGTGTGGGCCGGAGGGAGAGGCGTCCGGATCCGGTGGGGGCGGCAGTCCTCCCTTTTGCCGTCCCGGGCAGCTCCGCGTGAAGGCCGGACGCATCGCGGGGCTGTGGGAGAGGTCAGTCGGCGGCTGCGGGGGTCCGGGTGGCGCGGCGGCGGCGGTGCCGGCACCGGAAGTGGAGGGGGCCGGCGGCGGCGGCCATGGCAGCTGAGTGTCCGCAGCGCGGGGCGGGATGCAAGGGGCGAGGCTTCGTCTCGGGCTGGGCGCGAGCGAGACGAGGAAGAGGAGGCGGCTGGGTGACGCCCGCGCTGCGCTGCCTGTGGGAGCTGACGTGCCCATGTACCCGGGCAGTGCGGGTGACAGGTGTCCTCCAGCCGCGGGAGCCGGCAGCCTCGCGCGTGGACTCGGGTTTTCGGCATGGGGTCAGCTCGGACTCTCGCATGCTCCCGCGTCGCTCCCCACGCTGCCCCGTGGGGAAAAGGCAGCTCTCCCACCCCCGCGGTCCGTCGTGGACCGGAGACGTTTTGGACACGCGGTGCACCATGCAGGCTTCCACGTGCTGGAATCGCAGTAGAAGCGGACACGATGCTGTGTAGGTTGGACAGTGTCGCTCGGCCACGGGCGTCTGAGGCCAGCAGCAGCGCCCCGTTTTTAGAGCATTGGCTGAGGTTTTGCTGAGAACTGTCTGCTGGCTGGGTGCTTGCCCTTAGGACCTCGGTTTGAAAACCTGCCGCATGCGGTGGTGTTGCTCCAGGCTGCAAAGGGAATGAATAGATGTCACGGTTACTGGGATTGGGGGTTGTGCATCCGAGGAGTTCTGGGCTCAGTCCTAGCCTTCTTCCGGGAATGCCACCCTGAAGAAATTCTCTGCACATTCAGTGTAAGGGAGGGAATCAGGGAGTCGGATTCTGTAACACATGACGCTGTATTTTACAGGAAAATCCTAAAATTAGGAGCCACCATGTGGCCGTGTGTGCCCATCGTGTGCTTTCATTTCAGAACTAATAACACTCAGTAATTTCATGGAGAACACTGAATACATCCTGATCTTTTACATAAAATATTATAACATGGAAAAGGTCTTGTAAGTGAGGGTGCTTAGGAATGAAGCAGTGTCTTAAAGATTTGTTTATTTTTATTGCACAGGCTGATACAGAGAGAAGGGAGACAGAAAGATCTTTCCTTCGTTGGTTCACTCCCCAAGTGGATGCAATGGCCAGAGCTGAGCTGATCCAGAGCCAGGAGCCAGGAGCTTCTTCCAGGTCTCCCACACGGGTGCTGGGTCCCAAAGGGTAGGACCGTTTTCACCTGCTTTCCCAGGCCACAGGCAGGAAGCTTCGTGGCAAATGCAGCAGCTGGTTCACAACTGGCACCTCTATGGGATGCTGCTGCTTGCAAGGTGAGGATTTAGTCTTTGAGCTAATGGGCTGTCCCTTCTCCATCCCACCCCCCGTTTTTTTTTTTTTTAAGAAAGTTATAAAGCAGTTGGGCCCAGCGCCATGGCCTAGTGGCTAAAGTCCTCACCTTCAACGCACCTGGATCCCACATAGACGCCAGTTCTAACCCCAGCAACCTTGCTTCCCATCCAGCTCCCTGCTTGTGGCCTGGGAAAGCAGTAGAGGACGGCCCAAAGCCTTGGAACCCTGCACCTGCATGGGAAACCTGCAGGGTTCCTAGCTCCTGGCTTTGGATTGGTGCAACATGGGCCATGGCCCATTGTGGTCACTTGGGGAGAGAATCATCGGATGGAAGATCTTCCTCTCTGTCTCTTCTCCTCTTTGTGTATCTGACTTTGAAAAAAAAATTGCATTTTGGTAACATTTCAGTAAGCAAAAATTAAAATAATATTTTCTACAAAATTAAGGTTGTCCAATTTTTTAAAATGTTTCTTTGATATGAAACTATTTTGAAAGAATGGTGTGATAAAGGTTTCACATAAGGGTGTAAAATTGCTGGCTACCAGAGAAATGCCTTTGAAATCTGAAGATTAGGACTTCATTTTGAGTTATTTATTCGTTAATGTGGTTCCCTTTTCTGTGTTTTGAAAGTAGTACCTAATCCTGTATTGCTGGACACAAGGAAAATTATGGGTCTTATTAGCCATCTGTGAGTTTTTTGTTTTTTTAAGATTTTTATTGTAAAATCATATACACAGAGGAGACACAGAGGAAGATCTTCTGTCTGTTGATTAACTCCTCAGGTGACCACAACGGCCGGAGCTTAATTCCTCCAGGTCTCCCACGTGGATGCAGGGTCCCAAGGCCTTGGGCTGTCCTCTGCTGCTTCCCCAGGCCACAGGCAGGGAGCTGGATGGCAGCCATATGGGGCCCTTGCGCATCCCAGGCGAGGACTTAGCCGCTAGGCCATGGTGCCGGGCCTGAAATTCTGACGTCGAAATCTTGCGATGAGTTTTTAGGAACAGAATGATTTTTTGTGTGTATGATTCTTTTTCTTTTTAATGGACCATTTGTCTCACAGTCAATAAGGTATAAAATATACAAAATTTTTAAAAATCTTCCCTTGTTTTAGATGGACTGATTTTGTGGGATGGTGACGCAAACTACTACAGGTTCAGCTGATACGTTGAAAATGCTGTTGCTTCCTGGTGTGTAGTTTTACTTTGTCCATTACCTTCTGTCACCAAGATTGGCCACATAATTGTATGAGTCTGTGTCTTGAAAAACGGTGGAATTTAACTGCATGGTTATTTCTGTAAATGTCAGTATATGTTCAGAAATGCAGCTCATTACTGTGTTACATGTTGCTACTTTTTCTAAAGATTTAGCTATTTTTTTGAAAGTTACATAATTCACTGTGCCATGTTAGATCTCACTGCTATTTTTAGGAGCACAAGGGGTTGGAGATAAAGATTTTCTTCTAGATAAAACTCCTCCTGGAATGACAGGAGGGTTTATGTTCAAGTGGATCTAGGTTAGCTCATAGCTTTCTGGCAAGCTCTTTGTTCAGCAAACTCACTGTCAGGAAAAGAAAGAAGATACTTAAATGTGGAAAGTAGTTATTTCCAAAGAGTTAAGCAATTTAAATAGTTTTTGAAGAGAAGACTTCTCTAATGGCCTCTGATGCCATAGGTGAAGGATTGTAACAAGTTAATGAAATATGTGTATGAGGAAAACTGCATGAGTTGAAAAAAATTTGCGCCAAAATACTTATTTTTTAAACTCCATTTTCCCATGGTCTTTGAAGCCCCCTGCATAAATCAGCTGTGATTTTTAACAAACTGGTCTAGAAAGGAAAGCAGAAAGGAATTTAGTGGTAGTTGTAGTAGATTTTTTTAAAGACAGTGAGATTGTAGTCTGATATTGGGAGAAAAGATGTTTTGGTTGAATGGAAAGTTGTGAGCAAAGATGTTATTATATAAGAACAGCCGTGTATGGGACAGTGAACAACCCAGTGTGGGAGGGCTGCGTGGCTGAAGGGCATGGTGGGAACACTGTGGGTTGTGGCTTGTCAGTGTGCCAGGGAGCCCTGCTATGGGCACTCAGGAGTCTGCCCTGTCGATTGGCTCCTGCTGGGCTGTGCGAGTTGGAGTGTGAGCGGGAACTCCACTTTTTTTTTTTTTTTAGGAACTCAGCTTTTAATCACACTCTTAATCTGGTTTTAAAATTTCCTCCTGTCTATGTACATTTTAATTTTTGCTTGTTTCTTTAAGATTCTAAAACTTAATAGAATTCTTCAGCGAGAACAGATAATTTAATACCTAGAAATATTTCATCAAGCTGTTTTGACTTTTCCTTTTCCCCATCGCTTAACCGTCTAGCATATAATGGTTTTTTTTTTAGATTTATTTTTATTATTTTTTTAATTGGAAAGGCGGATATACAGAAAGGAGAGACAGAGAGGAAGGTCTTTCGTCCGATGATTCACTTCCCAAGTGAGCGCAACAGTCGATGCTATGCTGGTCCGAAGCCAGGAGCCTCTTCCGGGTCTCCCACGCGGGTGCAGGGTCCCAAAGCTTTGGGCCATCCTTGACTGCTTTCCCAGGCCACAGGCAGGGAGCTGGAAGAAAGCGGGGCTGCCGGGATTAGAACCGGCGCCCATATGGGATCCCGGGTGTGCAAGGCGAGGACCTTAACCACTTGCGCCACCGCGCCAGGCCCAAGCATATAATGTTTTAATATTGAGCTTCAGTAAACCATCTGTGTGGATGCAGTATTTTCTAGGACTTTTTTCCAGGATGAAAGGATCATCATCCTTCTAAAATGTTGCCATGTTGGGCTTTTTTTTTTTTTTTTAGATTTATTTATTTTTATTACAAAGTCAGATATACAGAGAGGAGGAGAGAGAGGAAGATCCTCCGTCCGATGATTCACTCCCCAAGTGAGCGCAACGGCAGGTACTGCGCCTATCCGAAGCCGGGTACCAGGAACTTCTTTCCAGATCTCCCACGCGGGTGCAGGGTCCCAAAGCATTGGGCCGTCCTTGACTGCTTTCCCAGGCCACAAGCAGAGAGCTGGACGGGAAATGGAGCTGCCAGGATTAGAACCGGCGCCCACACGGGATCTCAGCGCCTTCGAGGCAAGGACGCTAGCCGCTAGGCCACGCCACCAGGCCCTGCCATGTGGTTTTGTTTTGTTGTTAATGCTTGCTTTTCATGTATTTGAGTGAGAGAATGTTCACCTTCTGGTTTCCTTCCCAGATGCTCTCAGCCAGGGCTGGCTCAGGCCAGAGCCAGAAGCCCAGAGCTACTTTTCTGTTCCCCACACAGGCAGCTTAACCCACTGCCTGCTCTGCTGGTCTGCCCTTGTCAAATCTGCTCCTTGATCCTGACTGGTTTATAAAACTTAACCCTTTTGGGGTAGTTTGTGAGCTTACTTGGTTTGAGCTGATTTGTCACGTGTGTCAAGGCCATTTTCTCATTTAGATAGACGTGTAGAACACGCCCGTTGTGAGTGTACACTCTGCCGTCAGGGGAGAGGTCAGTGCCGCCCTGCTGGTTTTCAGCGTTCGGGTTTGGGTGAGTGTTCACTGCTTCACTTGCATTAACTTCTCTTCTGAGACTTTGCGATTTCCAAAGATTCCTAGACCGTTTGCATTATTTGTAGGATTTCAGGTTTTCATGTGCCCCAGTAAGAATCATAGGTTTAGGAATTGTGTAGAACAGGGAGTCCTTCCTGTGTCATAACTTATAGGCGTGGCCATGGTTTTTTGTAGAGAAGATTTCATCTCCTGTCTGTCCTTTCTGTAAAATGGGAGTTGATAATAGGACTCACCTGACAGGGTTGGGATTACCGTTGCTGAGTCCGTACATGTACAGTGTGTGGAAGGATGCCAGGCGTTTAGGGAGTGCTTGCGCATTCTGGGGTGGCGTTCATGTGTGGAGTAGTGCTGCGGGAGTGACGTCCAGGGGAGGGAGTGAATGCCCACACGCAGCACTAAGGGCACGCTGACTCTTCCCTGGGCTCGGAGCCTTCTCCCACTGCAGTGCCTAGTCGGGTATGCTGTGCTGCTGCCACACGGACCTTGCCATAGTTCCCCAGAGTAAGCCTTGTGTCGTTCTCTTCTGGTTGGTTTTTGTTTTTTCTTCCTTTTCCCCTTCCTTCCTTTATTTTTACTGGAAAGGCAGTTTTACACAGGAAGAGACACAAAAGATCATCTATCAACTGGTTCACTCTCCAACCCTTGGAGCAGAGCTGATCTGAAACCAGGAGCCAGGAGCTGCTTCTGGGTTCCCACAAGGGTGCAGGGTCCCAAGGCTTTGAGCCATCCTCCACTGCTTTCCCAAGGCACAGGCAGGAAGCTGAATGGGAAGTGGAGGATCTGCCAGTTGAGTCCTGGCTTCCCACCTTTGTAGGGTTAGAACCTGTCACACACCTGGGTGGTTAATGGGGCATGCACGTGTGCAGTCAGTGTTTTTAGCTGGATATTTAATAAGCAGATTGTGTCAGTTCTAATGTGCTTTGTCAGTTAATACGTTCAGCAACATCCTGCTTAGTCCCTTAAAATGACATCACTTTGAGGCTTTCGAAATTGGGTCAGGTGGAAGAGCATGTAAGCAGTAATGCACAGTGAGGCACAGGGGCATGTGCACAAGTCAGAAGTTTTGTTAGAATTTCTTCTTTTTAAGATGTCTGACCACCATGGGCTTGTTTTTCTTACAAGACCTCATTTTACAGACTGCCTTATTACCTGTGGCATAAAGTTGTAGAGTTTGACCAGGACTAAAGGTACATGAATGAATATATATGTAGGTATGTGCCACCTGGCTCAGTAGGTTAGTTAGCTCATAATTTCAGCTTCTTCGTTTTAAAAAGTGCCTATGCAAATAGAGACTGAAAAATGGTATTTCATGAAAACGATCCATGGTGACTGTGATTGGCAAGGACTTGGCCTCAAGATTGATTAAAAAAAAAATACAGGTGGGCTTTGGGGAGCTAAGGTGCAGCGTCAGGCGCACAGCGGGCTTTTGTACAGCTCAACAAGCTGCTGTGTACTCCCAGCTCCAAGGTTCTCAATAGCCACAGCAGCTCAGCAGACGTTGGGTTCAATAAGCATCGTAAGGTAGAAACACTGGGTTTGAAAACCAGATAGTCCTGGTGATCATAAGCCATTCCTCTCTGTGCTTGGGATACCTCACAGCACGAGCTTTGCTTTCAGAGTATAACATGAGACTAGATATGTGTAGCTTTTGACTATTATAAGGCTTCAGTCCAGTACCCTATACTTCAAATAGGAATTCCCATTGTTCTGTTATGCAGCTGTCCCTAAAAGGTCAACTTCTTAAAATCTGAAAATCAAACATTTGACTCTAATTTTAGCACGTATGGAAGTTGCTGCTGTTCCTGTTGGGTGTGATCAGATTTTAACAGATTTTAATATCTTAACGAGAGGTCTAATCATAAATGGCTGGCAGAAAAAAAAATGTGATGATGTGCCCACAGGTTTGGCCTCAGTACTTCCTCTGGGTCCAACCTGCTGTCTTAAAGCCGGGGCTGGGGAATAAACCAGGCAGTGTGCAGGCAGTTTTGAAGGCTTCTACTAGGCATCCTGTGCTCCTACAGCTGTGCCCTTATGGGGAATCACACAGGGACGGTGTCACTTGTTCTTTGCACAGGCCCTTGGTGGTTTGGCAGTAGTGGTGGCAGAGGGCAGGGGCAGAGAGGGGCTCGTTGGTTTAACTTTTTCGGCTTGCTATACCTCAGTGACTCTGATGGCCTATACAGGGCTCTGTATTCATTTGTAGTTATTATTACCTAAAGCCTGTGGAAACCAAAGAAAATGTTTTGTTTTTTGCTCAGTTTTCTTTAAGACAAAGTAAAATTCTGTTTCTTTTTTATATATATGTTTGGTTTTCAGATTGTTTCTGTTCATGTAATTTTACTGGCTTGGATCAGGGAAGAGAGGGGGACTTTTTTTATGAAGGAGCATAACAAAAAGAAATACTACTTCCTGTTTCTGATTCCTCTAACCTTAAGGCCTTGAGGGCGTGGCAGCCCAAGGCAAACGTCAGCAGTTTCCTCCCTATTACCTCCTTGTCAGTAAACACTTGAGCCACAAAACTTGTTTCTCTGCAGTCCATGGACTTCCTCTTTTGTCAGATTTCCATCTAGGGGAAAGACTGAATTTTGCAGCAGACTAGGTTGAGTTTCATGTCTAAAGCTTCTGCGTAAGTTCAGTTTGGGAGCCATCCAAATATCTCTAGGGGAGAAAACTGGCATGCCATGTTTACATGCAGTCGGTGGGATCAGGAGAGGCCAGCCAGGAGGGAGGGAAGCGTCCTGCTGTCAGACACGCTTCCTGCTTGACTTGACAACATTTGTGGCTTGCCTTTTCTTTCCTTGGTGAAACGGTTCAGTTTGTCAACAAATTATTATTCTGTCTGAACAGGGGGGCATCTGTGTGCATTTTTAGAGGATTTTTCTTTTGGAAATATGTAAGAACTCTGCTCAACCACATTGGTGCACTTACTGCAGGGATAAGTCAGACGGTAATTGGAGCAGAAGTGAGTTTGGCCATGAGTGTGGAATATCTTTTTGAAGAACAATCAGTTATACCTTCTTAATCTTGCAGTGAATATAGTAAATAGAACATTTATATAATGAGTTCTCACTTTTTCCATCTTAAAAATATTTTTAGATTTATTATTGGAAAGCCAGATATACAGAGAGGAAGATCTTCTGTCCACCAATTCACTTCCCAAGCAGCCTAAACGGCCGAAGCTGAGCCAATCCAAAGCCAGGAGCCAGGAGCTTCTTCTGGGTCTCCCATGCGAATGCAGAGTCCCAAGGCTTTGGGCCCCCTTGACTGCTTTCCCAGGCCGGAAGCAAGGCTGCCGGTATTAGACCTGGCACCCATGTGGGATCCTGATGCATGCTAGGAGAGGATTTTAGCCTCTAGGCTACTGCACTGAGATCTCTATATATGTGTATGACTTATAAAGTCAGACATACAGAGGAGAGAGGAAGATCTTCTGTCCATTCACTCCCCAAGTGGCCACAGTAATTACAGTAAGGCTCATAATACATGCATGAAAATGGCCAGTGGCAGAATGAAAGCTTTGCCTTGTTGGGGTTATCAGCAGCTACACTTAGCGTCTCTGAAAGACACAGCTTCAGAGACGGGAGAGATCTCCATCCACTGGTTCATTCCCCCAGTGGCCACAGTAGCTCAGGCTGGCCATGCTAGAACCAAGAGCTTCACCTGGGGTTCCCACTGGGTGCAGGGGCCTTAAGAGGGAGCAGGATTGGACCTGCAAATCAGGACTGGAAAGCACTGGTTTGGAATGCTGGTGTCATAGGCTGCAGCTTTAACCCGTTAATGCCATAGTGCCTGTCCCTGGTGCTGCTGTTTTGTTTTTTAATAGTTCTATGGGCTTTGAGCTTGGAGAAATCTGACAGTAACCTTATAGGAATTTGTTCGGCAGGTTGGTGGCAAAAATATTCTAGGCATGGGAAAATATGGATATGGTTGGGTTCACGAAAATTTGTTGGGTTTTTTTTGTTTTAGTTTTTTTCTCTTTTAATTTTCTTTTGGGTCTCATTTATACACGTAAGGAATTGAAAAGGAAACAGTACTAGGAGTTAGTCTTGTGCATTTCCACTTGGAATTTATTCTGAGTTTTTAGATGAGCTTTCTGATAGGTGAATTTTTTTACAAAATGAAAGATTTAGTCTTGATTTGCTTCATTTTCTGAAATGATCAGTGCTTCATGGTTTCATTTGCTTAAAAACACATTGATCACTTACTTACATCTTTATTTACTTTTTAGGTTTCTTCATAAAGTCGGAAATAAAAGCATATCAGTTAAGTACTTTTATAATTTAATTATCTGTGATCTCTAAATAAAAACTTGATGTTCTTTTTAAGCCTTCTTTTTTCTTTCACTTTAGGTACCTGTTGAGAAGTTGCCCACGATAGCAAGGTACTCAGACTCTTTCAATAAATTCTGCATTCCATGTCAAAAGGAGTCCGTGTCTCTCTTCAGCAGGACTACAGTCCACATTTCCTTCTTTACAGTTACTTTAGGGCTGTAGATAGTACGTAGGTTTAAAATTGCCCAGAATTTACTTGATACAGCTTACATTTGATTTAGCCAGTGTCTTAAAATCAGGTATTTTCTCAAAGGATAGCACATCTGTCATTCTCAGGTAAATTTAAGTTTTAAGACATAATGGATAATTAAAAACAAAAGTCTGGTGTTTAGTTAATTCTGTAATAGCTATCCAGTTATGCTCAAAGTCCAGCAGTTAAAAAGCCTAACAGTTGAGCTGACTGCTGGTGGCAGCAGCCTGGTTCAGGCCGTTGGGCCTAGTCTGAACTGTTCTGGTTATGACACCTGTTTCAGGTGGCAGAACACAGGCTGAGTTGATCCCCACAATAAAGGGAAAAACCAAACAGTCTTCACATATATTAATTAATTTGTTTTGGGGGGGGGGGAGAAAAAGCCTCAGGGCTTTTTTAAAAAAAGCTTCTTTATTGTAAAGATCAGCACTTGACAGAGACAAGGATGCACCCCACCCTGCGTCACTCTCCAGCTCATGGTGACAGCCAGATGGAGGCCCGGATGAAAGAGGAGTTAGAAATTCATCCAGATCTTCACCACAGTCAGGGGCAGGGCCCAGCACTGGCTTCTCCCAGCACCTCCAGCTGATCTGCAGTGGAGCCGCTAGGGCCTCAACCTGCCCCACCCCTCGCTACCCTTCTCCCTCCCCAAATTCTGAATCTCATCTGAGGTTGAACTAAAACTGAAGGCAGGCCACTATATATTTACTTACTAAAGTTCTTAAGTTTTTTTTTTTTTTTTTTTTTTTTAGGAAAGCCCAGCAAAAATAGGAAAGGTCATGAAATGGGGCTTTTGAATCTGATCTAAAGCTGCCTTTGGTAGTATTTTAACTAGGAAATTTTAAAGTAGATACATGTCTACATTGCAATGTTAAATGTTCTCAATTACTCCTGTCCATCTGTCAGGTAGATATTAACCAAACTTCAATAGTTACAAGACAAAAATTTAATGAAAATCGATCAGTGGGTTATGTATAATCCACAGGCTAAATATTACATGGGACTGTAGTACAAATTTTAAATACTTGAAGTAATTGTTACATATTGTCATCATCAGATTCATCTTCTTCCTTCAAAGATTCCTGTTTAAAAAAAAAAAAACATTTAAAATAAATATTGTTATATCCCATGTCCAAGGGAAAGTTAAGATACAGCTATATGAATTAACAAGCACTCAATACAATATCTCATGCTTTGCACCTGAAAGGAACACCACGTGAGATTCACAGGTAATGGGAAATTAAGGATACTCTTGCTCTAAGGACCAATAACTATCCCTTTTTAACCAAATAGTTTTCATTACAGATTGCTTTAGTCTGTGTCTTACCTTAGCATATTTCTCTGCTTCTTCCCTTATATCTTTTGGAACAATTTCATGTCTTCCTTTAGTTACTGTAAATTAAGCCATACATTTAAATAAACTTGAAACCTTATGGTTACCATGTCATTAAAAAAAAAAAAAACTTCACATATTTGAGATAAACAGAAACGACTTACATTCACCAACCCAGCTGAGCTCTAATTCGAAAGCTTTGTCCTTAACTTCGTCATGTACTATGTAAATTCTAGAAAAGGAAAAAGTAACATTGGAGGTAACTGCAGCTCACACACCCAGCCAGTAAAACACAGAACCCCATCCCTAGAGGAAGCTGCAACGCAGGTACATAGTCGCACATCTGAATTAGGAGTGTTGGAACAGCCACAGGTTGCGGATTTTCACTCAAAGTCTGGTTGTTTTAAAGATTGAAGGACGGATTGCAATGGGAAAAGGGCAGGCTGGCCACCAGATAGATGTCTGTGTCCCCAGCAGACGTGTGTACACACTTGAAGGACCCGTATTCACACACAGTGTTTCTAAACTTGTGGGGGACTTCAGACAGACAAGCTCCTGTAAGTGTGCTGGGCCCTTTTCTGGTTAAACTTTACTGCCTACACTCCTCTTTCATTCATTACATCCTGAAAATGAAATACTTATTTTCTTAAGCAGGATTAAGACTGTGAAGTTCTCCTCCTAAAAATTATGTAAACAGCCTCATAGAATTAATGTGTGTCCAAAAACAAAGTGAAATATTTCCATGAAGAGTTGAAAACTTTGAACTTACATTTTGGCAACTTCCTTAACAACATCACGGCAGGTCATTTCTTTCATCTACAGAAAATAAAAAGCATGTATTTCCTATTTGCATATCTTTTCACAACTTGTATCACTAATTCAAGCTCAAGATAATTCTCAGATGTAAAAACAAGGACAAAAAATATCCGAGAGAACACTACTGCTTAAGTGACCCATTTACATTTTAATATTTTAGAATTAACATGCTAGAATTCTTATGGTAAGTAACCCTTAAGCCCAAAATAATTCACACATAAGCAGGACCTGGAATTTGAAAGACTGAAGAAGAAATGAAGTTTCATAGCCAACAACACTTTTCATAGTACAACAAAATTTTCATACTGTAACAAAATGACAAATGCACCATGAATACCCACTAAATGCAAGAGAGAATGAAAGCATAGGGCCCAGTGAGGTAGCCTCACGGCTAAAGTCCTTGTCTTGCATATGCCAGGTTCCTATATGGGCACTGGTTCTGACCCTGGCAGCCCCACTTCCCATCCAGCTCCGTGCTTGTGGCCTGGGAAAGTAGTCTAGGACGGCCCAAAGCCTTGGGATCCTGCACCCGTGTGGGAGACCTGGAAAGAAGCTACTGGCTTGGATCAGCTCAGCTCTGGCCGATACAGTTAATCATCATCTTCTCTATCCTGTTTATCTGACTTAGCAATAAAAATAAATAAATCTCTCTTTAAAAAAAGTATAGGGGAGGAATTGTCCCATATAGAACTGTTCTATATAACAGTTTTGAACAATTTATGGTTTGACTCGAGGAAGGTACATGAAGCCAAAAGCTTGGCCCAGGCTGCAGTGACTACCTGGACATTAGGCAGAAAATCGGCATGTTGTCACTGTCACCAGACACTCACTACACATACAAGGGTCAGGACCGACACAATTTGAGCAGTGACACTTGTGTTGTCAGTGGGTACCTGGCACAGAATGGGGTTCATTAACTTTCCTGAAGCTCTAGTGATGTCTGCACAACCACATATCCAGAAGATAAAATGGCTGGAGATCTCGGGGCCAATGTGCTGTAGCAGGTTAAGCTGCTGGTGACACCCGCACGCACCATGAACACCAGTGCAAGCAACTGGGAAGAAGGCAAAGTTCATCCCAGTGTGTGCTCAGGCCTTGTGCCAGCTCCTGGGATCACCCATCTACTGCTGACTGAAGATTACATGTGGCAGGAGTTTAGTCCTCAAAGTGATTTCTGTAGAATTTTGGCAGATACCTATTTTCCTTCCTGACACAGTTTTATTCACAGAAAGATAAGACTGATTTTCATATTTCCAAATACAACCGTAGAAGTATGTTAACAGGAAATGTGTAAGAGTTTAAGTTTGTCTTAACTATAAAACACAAAAACGGACTTTTTAGAATGTGGCCTTAAATAATTAGAATGAGTATATAGTTGAGCAGGTCCTAGTATAACACCAATTTTAGATACATGCAACATTTTCTTCTTCCTGTAATTGACCAAAGCACTGAATCATTATCTGCCTTTTAGGGACCTTCCTGTAGGTAAACAGATTAATTGGGAAGCCAGTCAATATCAACTTGACCAATTTATGTTTAAAGGGAACAAAACTAGTTTACTCTAAAACCTGGCATACAAAAACGGAATTCGTGGCTCTTTGGGAAGAACAACTGGGCAGCTTCTTGCCGTGTGTGGCACAAGGCAAGGAGAAGCACTGGGAGCTCAGGCTGACCCCGAAGCACAGAGCTGCACCCTGACAGCTGCTTCCAGGACTTCAGCTCAAAGCTTCCAGACGATTCTCCAGCGGGGGCGCAGGAAGCCGTTAAATGGGCAACACGAGTTTTACGAGACTTCATCAAAGGTGGCATTTTTCTGTGTAGTGGGTCAACCAATCACAGAGGGATCCACAACTCTCAACCAGCTTTCCTATCACTGCTGAGCTCCAAAAATCTGTATACTCTCACGCCACACTCTAACCCTGGATAGGTTACTTCCTGGTGACACACTTCCCCACATGAGGATAATGAAGTAGCAAAGGTTCAAGCATTAAACGTTACCTGCAGTTTCTCTATTTCTGTCTTTGCAGCTTGCCTGGCTTTGCCAATGGCACAGCCCCAATAACCCTATTAAAATAAAAAAATCATTTTTAATAATTGACACATTGTATCAATAATGTCTACTGCTACTTAAAAGTTAATGAAAAGATGTTAAATGACTTTTGAAGCAAGTAAGGTGTAATACAGTCAAATATATCCTGCTGTATCCTAGAAGAGACCAACAAAATTCGTCCGCTCAAGCCACCCCAGGAAGACACGTCCCCAGGGTGCCCAGTGGGGCCCCTGTCACTGTGCTTAGGCCTAGAGTGGATGGCAGCCAATTACCTGGATTCCTGTCACCCACGTGGCTCCAGGCTTTGAACTGGCACAGCTCCACTACAGATTAACTCTTTTTACCCCCTCCTTCCCCATCTTTGCTTTTCAAATCTTTAAAAAAATAATAATACTAAATTGCCAATCTTAATTCTCAAAGGTTTTTTGATTTCTTTAAATTTTGTTTGAATTATACACACATTACATACATAATGATTACAGCGCACTTGCTGATGAAAGGGTGATAACTACTTCACGGACGGACATCCAGGTCCACATGTTTAACAGGCAGTAGGTCTCAGTGCCTGTGAGTCACCTCCCCTCACTGCTCTTTGAGCTAGCTTAAGTTTCATCACATACTCTGTGCTTGAGACATTTTGAAAAGTAAAAACAAACACAACGAAAACTGAAGATACACTTTCTCATACAAGTAATTCATGAGCATTAACTAAGTTCTCAGATGGCACAGTGTCACAGCAAGTAAAAATGCCACATTCAGTGCCAACATCCCATCTGGGTGCTGCTTCACTTGCTCCTGGTGGCCTGGAAGATAAGAGGAGGCAGCCCCAGTGCTTGGGCACCAATGCACCTGGGAGACCCAGAGCAGCTCCTAGACCCGCTTCGGACTAAAACGGCACTGGTTCTTGGGACATTTAGGGAGCAGACCAGTGAATGGAAGATCTCTGATCCTCCCTCTCTCTTAAATAAACAAAGTTCGTAGGGTCCATGTTGTGGCCTACAGGTCCCTGCACTAATGTGCCTGGGAGAGCAACAGCAGACGGGCCAGTGCGTGGGCCCCTGCTCCCAGTGACAGGCAGGGATGAAGCTCCTGGCCTTACATCTGACCCAGCCATGTCTACTGCTAGCCTTCTGGAGCAAACCAGCAGAGGCAAGAGTGCTGTCACCCCCTCGCTGAAAGGCTGGCTTCAAATATTTAAGACCATACATTTTGTGTTGACTTAAAGAAAAAAGGTTAACGATGCCAATATACAGTAATGTCACAACAAAATGTGTTTAAGAATTGTCATTTACACATTCACTATGTAGTTTCTAGAACACTGGAAAGCACACATTTCCTACTTATATTCATAAGATAACATTCCTTATAGATACCTCACGTAATTCAAATATGAAACTTTAACAAATGTTGCTTTAAATGGCAAGCTGGAAAAAAATCTGAAACAAGTGATACAATATTACTCACATATGAAACACCCGATGGGTCAATCATATACAGCTGTGCTCCATCAGTCGCACTGTACGACCCTAACATGAAACTGCATGAAAAATATACAAATTAAAATGGTGTAAGTGTAATCCAAATGTGGAGCTACCCATCATGATTATCGCCCTTCGTCTCCTGTGCTTAAACTCCAGCAGATGGAGCAGAGCTGGGTGGTACCTGGGCCTCCCTGCAGCCTCAATGCCACCTGAGACACCTCAGTTACTGAACTGCAGTTATTGAACTGCACACCTGCTTACACTGATACTAGTCTGGTATGAAACCTGAATACATGAATATGACCAGCGGGAAATGTGGTTACCTATCCCCGGGCCTCACACTTTGCTTTCTACCTCTCCCTCACAGCACTGTGGGATTTTAACAGTAGTAACATTTTTCTGTGCCCCCACACCTATGACATTACTCAATACAAGTTCAGTCATTGGTTATTTAATTCAAGAGTTTTCTGCACTGTGCTGATCAGCTTGAAGCTCTGCTGCTAAGTTAACAGGCTTCCCAAAGCAGTTTCATAGAGAAGTGGAAATCTTACAAGCAACATTAGAATCATGTAAGAAGTACCCACAAGTCTTAAATTCCTGTCAACAAAACAAAACTCAAGTTTTCATTACTACCCATCTGTGTAAGTATTTAAATATGGCTAATCGGGCCCAACAGTGTAGTGGTTAAGGTCCTCGCCTTGAACGCGCTGGGATCCCTACAGGCACCGGTTCTAATCCTGGCAGCTCCGCTTCCCATCCAGCTCCCTGCTTGTGGCCTGGGAAAGCAGTCAAGTACGGCCCAAAGCCTTGAGACCCTGCACCCGAGTGGGAGACCCGGAAAGAAGTTCCTGGTACCCGGCTTTAGATTGGTTCAGCTCTGGCTGTTGCGGTCACTTGGGGAATGAATCATCGGACGAAGATCTTCCTCTCTGTCTCACCTCCTCTCTCTATATCTGACTTCCCAATAAAATAAATAAATCTTTAGGGAAAAAAAAATATATGGCTAATCATAAACAACTTAAAGGCAGGACCTAGAGTTATGCATAGGATTTTAAAGGTTTTATTTTAATCAAATAATTTGCTTTCTAAATTGTAAACTAGGGCCCGGCGTGATGGCGCAAGTGGTTAAGGTCCTCGCCTTGCATGCCCGGGACCCCATATGGGCGCCGGTTCTATCCTGGCAGCCCCGCTTCCCATCCAGCTCCCTGCCTGTGGCCCAGGAAAGCAGTCGAGGACAGCCCACGGGCCTTGGGACCCTGCACCCGCGTGGGAGACCCAGAAGAGGCTCCTGGCTTCATGTCGGCATAGCATCGGCCGTTGCGCTCACTTGGGGAGTGAATCATCGGATGGAAGATCTTCCTTTCTGTCTCTCCTCTCAGTATATCCGCCTTTCCAATAAAAACATAATAAAAATAAATCCTTAAATTGTAAACTAAAAATGTTTTCATTTTGGTAAATCCTTCCCAACAAGTCTCTTGGAAGCCATATTTGAATATTTATATCTATTTTCTAGTCTTATTAGATTTGATTCCCTCTAGCATTTCCTTTTAAATACTAGAACCAGCACTTCACCTTCACAGTAAAAATATAAACTTGAAACAGTAGAAATCGCAAAATGTAACTCTATGTAGATTCACTGCTGACTGCTAAAAATACTATTTAGAATTAGGTTTCTGCCTGGCATGATGGTACAATAGCCCATTAGCCACCTTCATGGGTGCTAGTTCTAGTCCTGGCCGCCCCACTTCTGACCCAGCTCCCTGCCAATGGCCTGGGAAAGCAGCGAAACATGACCCAAGTCCTTGGGCCTCTATACCTATGTGGAGGGACAGGGTGAGAATAGGAATCTCCCAGCTCTGGCCTGCTCCACCCTGGCTGTGATGGCCATTTGCAGAACGACCAGCAGAATGGAAAGACCTCGCTGCCTCTAGGACTAACAGAATTATAGTCATATTAAGGTCACTGTAAGTCTTAGCATCCCTTCAGATAGTTCTATAGAAATCAGCATTTTGCATAGCTGCTTCAATTCCATACCTGCAGCCAAAAGGTCTGACAGCACTGTAGAGTGTGTAGGCGTGGACATACATGGCCACTCTGTCTGCAAGATGCTGATGAGGAAACACAGGATCTGATCAGCACGCTGCCTCCACCACCTCAGAGGGTCCCCAACGCGCGCTCTACTTACTTTCAGTGGAATGTTGTAGCCAAAGTTAGATCTAAAGTTGGATGCTTCTTCTCTTGCAATGTCTGCTAAGGAGCGTGCATCTGCCAACAAGCCCGCCACTGCCTGAAAGGAAAAGGCCAGTTTAACACCCAAGTACATCCCTGCACAAGTCAAGAAGTCTCCTGTTCCTAAAGGCTTGATAGTTAAAAATATGACCATTTGTAATGTCTATGACTTAAAGTTCCATATGTACAAGAAGTACTGTAAATTCTTCTCCCTGTTTACCACCTCATTATAAATCTAAGTCATAAGCCATTGTAAGTCTAAGCCACTGGTCTTGGTCAGGGTACATCTGTACTCAATAGTTCTATGAAAAGAAAGTTTAGAAGGTGCAATCAGAAAGACACAATCACACAAATTATGAGAAACAATATCAAAATTCGATAGCTTAAAACTGAAGTTCTTAGTGAAGACAGAGGTAGTCTAGGACATCCTAAGTTTGGAAGAAAAATTGTCAAATATTTTTAAAAGATTTTTTTTGGAAGAGTTTGGGGGGAGGCAACATTATATAAAGGAGAGAGAAAAAAGAGAAAGCTCTGCCATCCGCTGGTTCACCCCACAAAGTCACTGCAATGGCCAATGCTAAGCCCATGGAAACCATGAGCTGTGGGCCTTCCTCTACTTTTTCCCAGGCTATAAGCAGGGAGCTAGATGGGAGGAGGAGCAGCTGGGATATGAACCAGCATCCACATGGGAACAACAAATGAAATAATCAGCCACTTGGCTGCAAAATTTTGAAACTCTCAAAATTTGTAATTTTTTTTCCATTGCTATCTTGTAATGATGATAGCTAACACATACTGAAAACTCATTAGATGCTGTGAGTTCTGTTCTCAACTTTCCAACAACAGGATGGGGACCAGTGCTGCTGTCGTCACCCTTGAAAGGCAGGCAACGAAACAGAAAACCAGTGTTTAAAATAACATTCCAGGTCAAAGGCCCAGGGACTGAATCTCCGGCTTGCCTATGATGGGAACCCATACGAATGCCAGTTCATGTCCAAGCTGCTGCACTTCCCATCCAGCTCCCTGCTTATGGCCTGGTTCCTGGCTTTGGACTGGCTCAGGTGTGGCCATTGCAGCCATCTGGGGATTGAATCAGCGGACAGAAGATATTTCTGTCTCTCCTCTCTCTCGATTTACCTTTTCAATAAAAAATGAATCTAAAATAAAACAACAAAGAGCAGCAGAGGTTAACGCCTCCCGGAGGATGCCTATGGACCATTTGCATTCCGTCAGGAGTGCCACTCCAGGCCCAGATGGGCTCCCTGCTGTGCGGCAGCAGAGGGACCTCCAGTCCAGGGTCCCAGGCAGCCACAGGTGACTCACATAGGACTGAAGGTTGGCTCTGCTCCGGCTGTCACAGACACATGCAGAGTGCACCACAGGATGAAGCATTCTTGCTGTCTTTCAGGTAACAATTTAAGAGAACTTTCCCAAGGCTACCCCAGGAGGTTAAGTTTCATGAATTAATGAACCTGTTGCTGCTCTGCAGAAAGCTTTGTATGAAGTCTGATTCTCAAATCATCTCATGATAACTGAGGAGGAAGGACATTAATTTTCCCCAACCCTCTTCTATCGAATCATCTGCCAATTTCCAGGCTTTCATGTCAGCCATCGGCTTCCTGGCTTTAAATAACAAAAAGGGCAACTGTGGAGAATCTGAAAAAATGAAAATTTTCATTACGAAGGTGCTTATGATATTAGCATACATGTTTGGCCTGAATCATACCTAAGCTTTTTCTGTTAAAAAAGAAAAACACAGGGCCCAGTATGATGACCTAGAGGCTAAAATTCTTGCCTTGAATGTGACAGGATCCCAAATGGTCGCTGGTTCTAATCCCGGCAGCTCCACTTCCCATCCAGCTCCCTGCTTATGGCCTGGGAAAGCAGTCGAGCATCACCCAAAGCCTGGGGACCTTGCACCCCGTGGGAGACCCGGAAAAGCTCCTGGCTCCTGGCCTCGGATCGGCGCAGCACCTGCTGTTGCAGTCACTTGGGGTGTGAATCATCAGATGGAAGATCTTCCTCTGTCTCTTCTCTACATATTTTTGACTTTGCAATAAAAATAAATAAATCTTAAAAAAAAAAAAAAGAAACGAAACGAAAAATACAAGATCCACCCCCTTCCAAGTAAGTTACAACCTGGCAATTGACAAAATAAATTTGTCAGAAATACTGTTCAAAAAATATCTTTATGAAAAACTTTAGTTTCACCAGTGCAATGGATCAATGTTTAAAATCATTAACATCATCTTGTAAGAAGAGCCAGGATTCTGCATGGCCACTGGTTCATGTCCTAGCTGCTCTACTTCCTATCCAGCTGTTCACTGGGGACTCATCCTCTTTCAGGCTGGTGGCAGTGGTGGTTCTTACTGAACAAGACTAACACCTATGCAGGATGCCCTCACCACACGCCAGCAGAGGACGTGTGGCGGGGTTATAACTGTGCAAATCACTTCCTTTACACAACGGGAAAAAACCCGGCTCTCCAGGAAGCCACTGCAAAGGGCTGCTTTGATTTTCCCTTCATTTGACCCCCTTTCCAGGGGCCTCACCTAGCTGGCAGGGTGGCCTCAGAGGCCATCTTCAGCGTGTTGCTGAGCCCACAGCATACAGATGCCCAATGCTGCTTTGCCTCCGCTGTGTTTTCACTCTGTGTCTACTGTGACAGAACTCTGTCCCTCCTGCTGTTCTTAAGGCTACCTGATTTTTTTTGCACATAACCAACAGATCATGAAACTGGTACTTTTTTCTCAGAAAGCGAACAATTTAAACTCATGTCTGTATTTCAATGACTTCTCTGTTCCTTAATGTGTTACTATAACCACAGAATATATCCAGAAATTACTTCAAAAGGAAGTGGAAACAGCAAGAAAAAACATTTTTAAATGCGACCTTACCATTCCAACATGCCGATCAACATTGAAAAGGCGTTTGTTAGAACCTTCTTCATAAAGTTTAGAAAGGACTAATTTTTCTACTCCAAAGACAACACCGTCTTTGCATCTGATCCCAATAGCTGTACTGAAAAAAGGAAAGGAAAACCAATTTTTTTAAACTGAAAAAATGAAAAGACAAGGACAGGTAACATTTAAGATATGTAAAGCATCTTCCAGGTCTCCCGTGAGGGTGCAGGGTCCCAAGGCTTTGGGTCATCCTCTGCTGCTTTCCCAGGCCACAGGCAGGGAGCTGGATGGAAGTGGAGCTGCTGGGACACGAACCAGTGCCCAGATGGAATCCTGGTGCTTGAAGCTGGGGGATTTGCCAGTTGGACAAAAACACCAGCTCCAATAAGACACAGACCCAGCAAAAAAAATTATTACTATACTTGAAAGATTTAACAGATAAAGGGACAGAAGCCAGAGGATCTTATCTTTGTTGGCTCACCCCCCACACAGTCCCCAGGGCTAGGGGAGGCCGAAGCCAGGAACAACACCCAGGATCTGCCACGGGGAAGGGCTTTTCCAGGCCACTAGGAGAAAGTAGGATCAGAGCAGCTGGGACACGAACCAGTGCCCACATGGGACAGGAGTGTCACATGCTGTCCGGTTACCACGTTGGTCCCTCAGCCCTGTCTCCTGTGACATGCTCCGTAAGTCCTACCCAGGCTCATTGTTTCACTTATCTGCAAAGTGACCATAGCCTAAAAAATAAGGGGATTGTATCAAATCTGACCGAACCATGACATTTGCTCCCTGGCAAAGGAACCGATGCAAACGAATTCTGCAAGAATTTCAAATCCTTTCCCCACACATATTTTTCCGTTTCACATCTAAACTCCTCTGCACAGCTCTGTAGATAAAACAACTACAGCTGGCAAGCTAACTGCATTTACTCAATTCCCTGCAAATCTTGTGATTAGTGACATGCTTCCAAATACCATCCCCATTTCTGCCTGTCTCTGAAGTTATCCTCGGCACTGGAATACATTCTCTAATCACAACTATGTATTTTTAAAAATTTCCACAGCCCTTTGGAAACTTGAAATTAACCTCTAAAGCTTCAGGAATACTTTCTTAAGCATTCCAACTCTGCACTTAACTCACTGTATAGACTATTAAAACACAATGCTTGGGCCTGGCACAGTAGCCTGGTGGTTGAAGTCTTTGCCTTGCTCATGCCAGGATCCCACATGGGTGCAGGTTCATGTCCCAGCAGCTCCACTTCCCATCCAGCTCCCTGCTTGTGGCCTGGAAAAGCAGTCAAGAACGGCCCAAAGTCTTAGGATCCTGCACCCATGTGGGAAATACAGAGGCTTTGGGCTCCTGGCTTCCAATTGCCGCAGCGTCAGCCATTGTGGCCACTTGGAGAGTGAATCAACGGACAGAAGATCTTCCTCTCTGTCTCTCCTCTTCTCTATATATCTGACTTACCAATAAAAAGAAAACAAATCTTTAAAAATATCTCTTTATTCTAAAATAAAAAGTTCTTACAGTGTAGTCTGTGGATCTTCTGGGAAACCCTGAGAATTTCTGAGACGATCCTATCAGGAAAGAACTCTTAAGAAAGAATACAAAGACAGGACCGGGGGTGTGGCCTGGTGGCTACAGTCCTCACCTTGAACATGCTGAGATCCCATATGGACGCTGGTTCTAATCCCAGCTGCTCCACTTCCCATCCAGCTCCCTGCTAGTGACCTGGGAAAGCAGTCAAGCACCACTCAAAGCCTTGGGACCCTGCACCCTCATGGGAGACCCGGAAAAGTTCCTGGGTCCCAGCTTCGGATCATTGTAGCCACTTGGGGAGTGAATCATCGGATGGAAGATCTTCCTCTGTGTCTTTCCTCCTCTCTGTATATCTGACTTTGTAATAAAAGTAAATAAATCTTTAAAAAAAGAAAAAAAGACCGGCGTCGCAGGCCAAGCTGTAGCCTACAGCTTGGGCATTCTATATGGGGGCCAATTCATGCTCTAGCTACTCCACTTCCAGTTCCACTGCCAACGGGTCTTGGAAGCAGCAGATGGTCCAAGTGCTCAAGCCACTGACACCCACGTGGGAAACCTGGAAAGATGCTGGCTTCAGCCTCGCCCGGCCCCGGAGAGCGAACCAGTGCTTAAATGAGCCCTCTCTTTAATTCTGCCTTTTAAATAAACTAAATACATTTTATAAATACAAAATGTATATCAAATAAAGGAAAATATATCATTAAAATCTGAAACAGGAAAATGTAGTTTTACACAATACATTGGAAAACAATTGTGAAACTGACTAGAAATGAGAGTGTTTCTAATGGAAACAGTTCAACCAAGAAACTGTCCTGGAGATGACTAATGTTTGAGGTTATGTTAGGCTGCAGCAGTTTATGCCAAAGTAACACCGTCCACTACCAAAAATTAAATAGACATTTAATACGTGATTAAAACATACCCAGTTCAAGTAAAACACTCTTTCTTACCTGCTGTTTTCCACAGCCTTCATAGCATATTCTACTTGAAAGACTCGTCCATCAGGAGAGAACGTGGAGGCGGACAGGTCATACTAAGGGGCAAAAGGCAGTTTTAGAATCATCTATATTTGGCAGCAGCAACAACTGTACCATTTTTTGCTCGGAATGGCTCAGCACTCCCCGTGTGACGTCCCGAAGACTGCTCTGAAGAGGCGGAAGCACCCCCAGGAGCCGAGGCGAAAGGGAAGCTGGCTGTACATCTTAGCTTTTGGCACCAGAGGAAATAACGGGCACGTGTCCTAGGTGTAGTCAGAACCTCTTTAATGAAAAAACCCCACTTAAAAAGGGGGGGATGGGGAGGCCAGCACGCCAGCTCAACAGGTTAATCCTCCATGCAAAGTGCTGGGACATATGAGCACAGTTTGTGTCCTGGCTGCTCCACTTCCCAAGCAGCTCCCTGCTTATAGCCTGAGAAAGCAGCAAAGAATGAACCCTAAGCCTTGGAACCTGTAGCCACATCCAATTCCCAGAAGAAGCTCCTGGCTTCGAATTGGCTCAGTTGTGTCCATAATGGTCATTTGGGGAGTGAACCAGCTGATGGAAGCTCTTTCTTTCTGTCTCTCCCTCTCTCTGTAAATCTGCCCTTTTCAATAAAAGGAAAAAAAAAACTTAATAAAAAAAAAGGAAAAATGCAATTTTACTGCCTATTGCAAACTTTACCAACTTTTAAGACATTTTCCTGGACCCGGCACGAAAGCCTAGCAGCTAAAGTCCTCACCTCGTACAAGGTGGATTCCATAAGGGTGCCAGTTCTAATCTTGGCGGCCCTGCTTCCCATCCAGCTCCCTGCTTGTGACCTGCGAAAGCAATCAAGGATAGCCCCGGGACTCTGCACCCACATGGGAGACCCAGAAGAGGCTCCAGGCTCCTGATTGGCTCAACTCCAGCCATTGTCGTGGCATCCTGGGGAGTTAATCAGTAGACAGAAGAGCTTCCTGTGTATCTGACTTTGTAAGAAAAATAAAAAAATTTTTTAAGACTTATTTATTTTTATTGCAAAGTCAGATATACAGATAGGGGGAGAGACAGAGAGGAAGATCTTCTATTCCATGATTTACTCCCCAAGTGGCGGCAACGGCCAGAGCTGAGATGAGCTGATCTCATCCTAGGCCAGGAGCCAGGAGCTTTTCTGGGTCTCCCACGTGGTTGCAGGGTCCCAAGGCTTTGGACCGTCCTTGACAGCTTTCCCAGGCCTTTAAACAGATCTTTAGAAAAGACGAAGGAGAAGGAAGAAGGGGCGGAAGATGTGCTTAAAACATTGCTTAAAGTCAAGAAAGGAAAACTAGTCAGAGCCCCAGGGAAAGCCGTCAGGTGGATGATGGCCGACACCGTCCCAGGGCAGTGCCCGCAGGGGCACCCCGCTGAGGGACCAGGAACACTCTGTCTCCCCTTCTCTCCATAAACCTCATCTGCTTTTCTAATATGAATAAACAAATCGTGGGGGGAAAAAGGATTCTTCCCTAGCAAACGGATGAACCTATTTCTAGCAAACTGTGGTAGGTGAATTGTCACTGCTGAGTCATCTAATCTCCTCCCCTTGCAAAATGGTGCTTTCCTTGGGCACTGCCCTAACAAAGTTTTCATAAAATAATCATTTCACCCTTTATCCAACCAAACTTCAACATCAATGTGATGTCTTTTGTTGCTGCAGAATTCCTGCCGACAGCTCCTTCCCAAATGACTTCCCCTCCGCACAGTTTTACCCTAGATCCTATGTGGTAAGTCACTGCAGGTTTCTTCTGAGGTGGAAATGCTCTGCTAACAGGCATCTCCACAGGGCTTTCGGGGACACCCATGTCATGTGAGAACACAGCGGGCATCCCTTCGCGGAGGCCTCCGTCTTCTGGTCCAACTAGACTCAAGTTCAGGGGCTGGAGACACAGTTAGTCAAACCAGACAAAGCACAAGGCACTAAGACTGAAAAGAAAATAAATACAGTGGCGAGAGAGGAGCAGCTGCTGGAGGCTGTGGGTCGGTCCCATTTACAGGTATGGAATGTGGAGGTAGAGCCTTCCTGGCACAAAGACCCCCAGGGCCTAAGCCTGGCACAACCAAGGCACAGCATCCAGGTCGCTGTGTTTGCGGCTGTAAGTGGTGGAGGACAGCATGTCAGGGAAGGACCGAGTGCAGGGCCAGGCCTTGCTGGGTTCTCCACGCTGCGGCAGCAAGCTTGCCTTATACCATGGGCGAGGAGGGGCTGCAGCGGATGGGCCGCAAGACTGAATCTTTTCAAAGCACCGCTGTGGCTTCATGTGCAAAATGAAATGTACAGCCTTCCCAGCTCAGACGAAGGAAGAGACGGAAGGTAACACCTGCTGAAGGCACAGCTCCCCAAAAGAAAAGCACCAAAAAAAACCCCTTGCTCTTAGACTGGCTTAGAGAAGAAAGTAAAAAAGACGAATGGCAACTTTATTTTCATTTGAGCACCTAGAATCGAACCAGTGGCTGCAAAGGTGCTAAGAGACGCAAAATGACTAGAGGAGGTTTAAAGTTGTGACTTGGGCATGCAACGTGAAATGACTTAGACAAGTGGACCAAAGTGTGAAGGCAGCACCCTCCATCTGTCTTCAGGAGAACAGATACTATCACCTACACCACTCTTGGTTACATTATCAAGCAGTTAAAGGGCTTATAAAATAAAGCACTACGAATTGACAGCGGTTTTAATGTAGTTGAAAACTCAGCTTGGTACCGGACATATTACTGAAGATTTTCTAGTATGACAGCGCGTTAGTTCAGAGGCGCCACCTGAACCGGTTCTGTCCGGCTCCAAAGTCCCCAAGAGTCTATTAAAGTCTCCAAGTGGGTGATCATTTGAATGATCGAGGTGCTGTTTAGTCGGAAATAAGCAGAGACACAGCAAAAGCAAAGGATTCGTCCCGACTCAGCTTTCCTATGCTTTGCATTAGCTGCGTCCCGCCAGGGTCGCCGGGGCGGTGACGGGGGGCAGAGGGCGTGGGTCGCAGCACCCCTGGAACTGCAGGGCGCACCCCGGAGCGCCGCGCCGACCCCAACCCCCACCCCGGGAGCTTCCACTTTCGCTTTTCCCAAGGCGGCTGCCGAACGTGACTCAGCGCAGCCCGGCCTCCCCGCCGCGCCCGCCGGGCCGGAGAGCTGCGGGAGCCGCGGGGACGCAGGACGCGGGCCCGGGACGCGGCGGCCGCTCCGGGCTGCGGGCGGGCCCCCGGGGCCGACCCCCGCCTCGGCCCCGTCTCCGCCCGCCGCTTCCCGCCGAACCCCGCGCGAGCCCGGACAGACCCAGCGAGAGAGCACGGCCGACTCACCCCGGTGCCGATCGAACTCATGGTGCTCCAGCCACGGGGAAGCCGAGCGCTACCGGGCCTGACGCGTCCCCGACACCGCGGCGCCCCGCACACCAGTAACGGGCCCTCCCATTGGCCGCGTCTCAACCAATAGCCTTTTCCCTTGCGGCCCGCGCCTGCCCGAGGAACCCAAAGCATGATGGGAAACGGACGGCTGCGCGCATGTGCACAAGACCCGTCCCTTGGGGTTGGTCCACACCCGAGGCTGATATCCCTGGGAGAGCTCTAGTTGCTGGAGAAGCTTCCCGTTTCTTTGACTAGGACTTGTTACAGGCCTTTTGTGTTTGATAGCGTTCACTCTTGGCCAGAGGAAGCCGTGAGGGGGAGGTGTCCTGGGGTTTGGTGTCCTCAGCCAGACCCGGTCTCATGATGGCGTCTCCTTGGTCCTCCCCTCCCCAGACTCAGGAAGCTGCACTTGGACGACGGAAGCCTTAGTGCCCTTCCCGTGTGCTGTGGAGCAACCTGAAGGAAAAGCCTCATTAAAGAGAGTGTTGGCGCTGTGGATGAGACCGGGAACCAGGTGCCCCATCCCTCGTGGGAGGGCTAAGAAGGCTGGGCAAGTTCTGAGAGCGGCAGGTGCAGGGCGAAGCTCCTTGCAGACCTGCCAGGCCCGTGTCACCTGAGGTCTAGACTGCTGAAGGAACAATCCAAGGAACCATCAGCCATCAGCGGCTGAGGCGGGTCCAGGTCTCGCGATTTGGACTTTATCCCTGTTGTCCTAAAAGGCCGTCAGCATGCTTCCTCCTCCCAAATCCACAAGTACACAGTCCTCCCCCACATCGAGAACGTTAGTTTACACAATTATAAAGTCATCTCAACCTTACTGCTACTTTAAAATATCCCTGGCAATGCCCGCCATAGCCTGAAACGGTTGAAGATAACACATTGCACTCAATTATGCTCCTGGGCTCCTTCAATCTGGATAAAATGGTTGCCTACGTTCGTCTGGCTTTCAACACGTTTTTGTGGACACTACAAGCTATTTAGTTTCTAGAGCATGGTTTAGTTGAGGTTTGTCTGGTTTTAGCTATGATTAGCTTGATGGCTTGCATTTTTGGCAACAGAAGTGACCTGTCCTGTGAGGACGTTATTTTAGGCACATGTGTTTCATTCCTGGCGGTGTTAACTTTGGTCACTTGGTTAAGGTCTTTCCGCTCTAAACATCTTATTGTTCCCGTTATAGTTAATATCCATATCATGAAGAAACGCTTCTCCTCAGCATTTCATCCACTAATTCGTCTGAAATATTAACAACACTTGGCACATGAGTTTTCTAGGATTTTTTTTTTCTAAGCAGGAGAATTATGTAACGTTTTAATGTATCAAGTGATCTCTCTTGTTTCGGTGTGAAATGTGACAATGACAAAGAAACAGGCATGGGTTGGCCTGCGCTGAAGGCCCAGAAGGAAGTTGGTGGACAGACTCCAGTTCTCTAAGGCTTGCTGCAGAACTGGAAATGAAACGCTGTGGACCAAGAAAGTGCTGGGACACCCAACTGCTGTGTGTAGTCGGAGCAGGGTTGGCCTGGGAGGTAAGCCGGGAGCACAGCAACTTCATAGTCAGTCAAGTTGGTGCTGAACAGCCCCCCTTCATTGTGAGACCTTCACGGGCTGCTGGGTCAGGTGTGGCCTGATCCCTTACCACATGTTTCATCCCGGGCTACTCCAAGTGACCATTGACAATAGCATATGTTAAATAGATATGTGATTTACATAGATTCTTCTAGGGTGAAAAGCTTTTGACACTATCAGAGCCTGACTTTCTGCTTTTTGGAATGCCTGATATACTCAGCAAATGTGTTGGAGATCGCTTCTCAAGTCACTTTCCGGCTATGTCATGTTATGATCATTTAAAAAGCTAGTTTGTAATTGTAAGGCAAACTGTTAGCTGCTGTTAATAGAACTGTAAGCTTAAAAATGTAGAAATTCTACCTATAAGTATATTTTGAGCAATCTAAATTCATGGAACATGATTATTTTCAACTCAATCTCAGGAAATGTGGTGTTGAGTATGTTCTGCTTCTAAATACGTGGAGAGTGGCATTCTCTGGGAAGTCTTTGTTATCGTCAGATTTACAGCAGGGCTGTCCTGGCAGTTCTGACCTGTAGCAATAAACAGCATCCCTTAGCCCCCTATTACAAACATTAATAGGATTATTTCTCTGGGTTCCCCCGTTTTCCAGAATATATCCAGTGTCCACTCTCAGCTTGCCATAATTTGAACAAAAATCAGTTCTCTTCTCTTCTTTTTCGAATCTACTTTCTTGTCCACTAGATTTCCCCCACCCCGTGTCACCTGAGCCCCACTCTCCCCATTGTCAGCGGAAGCCCCAAGAACCCTTATTGAAACGGTGGGGCTGGGAGCTGCCTTGCTGGGCCCTTCTGGAGCCGCCGCCTCGGGAGGGATCAGACCCCAGAAGTGTAGGAAACGGGGTGACGCTGCACAGTTCCGCGGCCGCTAAGCCTGTTTATGTAAAAAAGGAAACATCTTGGGCCGGAGATGTTTTCAGACTCTTCATTAAACAATCCAAAAGCGGTTCAGTGACTGTTAAACACCCGCATAGGCTTTCAGTGGTCTGCGGACAATACAACAAAAGTTCTTACTAGAGTTTTAAAACGTCGACAATTCTGAGATAGAATTCAATCAAATGGTAAAAATCAACTTTAAAAAGAACCCGGTGTCGGGAAAGAAATAAACAAATATAGTTACATAATCATCAAATAAGGAAAAAAAGCCGCCTTGCCACAGGCGCCCGGCTAGCTCAGTCGGTAGAGCATGGGACTCTTAATCCCAGGGTCGTGGGTTCGAGCCCCACGTTGGGCGCTTTGTGTTTTCTTCCGTGTAATTTCAGAAATTTTTTTTTTTCTTGCCTGTTACTCATGAAACCAACAAATTCAAACACTTTCTGTATTAAGCAGATCTTTTGGAATTAAGCGCCCTCGCCGACCTCCCGAGAACCCGAGAGGACTCAGGAGCAGGTGCAGCCTCGCGCTCCCGCCGGTCTCTTGTACTGGCGGCCCTTGTAGTGGAGGGGGTCCCCTGCTCTTCTCCCGATTGCTCCCCTTCATCACACAGACACGAAAGCCGAAGCTCCGACACACCAGACGAGGCCGCGCAGGCTGCCGTTCTATGTCTCGGGTCCCTTCGGGTGAAGTCAGCCGGGTGGTCCTCTCCGGGCTCTGGGTTGACGCCCCCCAGCCGCTTTCTGCAGCGGGGCAGCGGCGGGGAGAACCTGCTGCGGGGCTGCGCCCTGGCGCGGTCCAGGGGAGGGTCCGGGGCGGTGCCGTGGTGCTACAGCCCGTGGGCGCGGTGGAGAGGGCAGGGGCCGGCGGCAGCAGGGCGGCAGCAGGGCGGCTGGGGCGCTGGGTGGAGCTGGCCTGACGTGTAAGACGAGGACAGTCAGCTCCTGAACGCGTCCGACTGGCCCCTAACAAGCCCAGGGCTCTAGTCTCGCCGAGCCAAGCCACCTGGGCCTCGCTCAGACCCACCCCGTTTCTGCCCCAACACGCACCGCCCTTCCTCTGCTCTGTCCACGTTGGTCAGGCTGGTCACTGCCAGGCCTGTCGGAATTTCCTACAGATCCGATGCCAGCGCGCTGCTGGCACCACTCCCCTGGGCTTCTGTGTGGCTTCAAGTGGCCCCTGCATAGGCTTCAAAACTGGGATGAAGACCCTGTCTCCTGGCTTGGACCTGGCCCAGCCCTGGCCCTGACAGCCAGTTGGGGAGTGAAAATCTCTTAAAACAAATAAAGCAGCTATTGGCTGATATTTTGAGACTTTGAATTAAGAGAAAAATGCGGCTCTGAAGTGACAACTTCAATATCCATTAAAATATTCAGCCCCGGTATCTCACCTATTGTACACTTAATTACTGATCTTGGCTCAAAAACTTAAGTAAATTATGATACAGGATGGCAGTACTGCCAGTGAGGGCTTAACCCATTGCACTATAACCGAGCCCTTCTCCATGCTATTCTTAATATGATATTCAGAATAACCCAGATTAAAGTAAATCAGATCTTAGCATTATCGCAGTGCCAGTTCTCCAAGAACACTCCTGAATAACCCTGTTTAGTTTCACCAGCCTCGTGTCCTTTGCTGGTTTCCCCATAGTCAGTGCCCCTTCTGTGGGGTCTTATTCTGGCTGTTCTTCCATCTGCGGCACACTTCCTACCGAATATCCAGTGAATTCACATCATTTTTGTTTAAAAGTGAGAAACAAGCAAACCCCAATCTATTCTCATTGGCAGTCTCCCCGACATCCACTTTGACCTTTGTTTTTTCCTAGGAGAGGCATCATCTTAAGAATGTATATATATATAATTAATATTATATATCATTATATGTATTATTTTATTTTTGACAACGTTTACGTAATTGAGAAGGATGCATGCCTGTGTGGACCACCGGTCAGAGTCAGTGGGGCGGGAAAGTGAATGAGACAACTGTTTCCAATCTTTCTTTCTTTCTGTGTCCGGGGAAAGCAGGGTGAGAAGGGGAGAGGGCCGCTCCCAGCAGCCTGACCGCATCTGTGTCCAGGGAGTTAGGACGGCCAGCTGCTGTCACCCTACAGTCCTCGACGTGGAGCTTGTTCTGAGGGTACTGCTTCCGTGGTTTCAGTCCTTCTAAGGTGCTGTTGATTTTGTTGTTCTAGGCTTGAGGAAATCCTTCCAAGGTCTGTTGGCTGATAGTCCACCTTATAGTCTCCATGGCGAGTGTATATTAAAAATGTGTGGTTAAAAAAATGACAACATTTAGGTTAAGCTGCCACTTTGGCTGGGGAGTGCCTGGGATCCAGCTTCCTGCTAAGCTGCCTTGGAGGCAACAGGTGATGGCCAAGGGCTTGGGTCCCCCACGCCCCTGGGAGCTCTGGAGTGCTGGCTTCCTGGCTCTGGCTCAGTCCAGGCCTGGCTGTGCAAGCATTTGGAAAGCCAGCAAAGGGTGAAGGATCTCTCTTACCTCTGTCATTTTGCCTTTAAACATTTGTTTGTTTTTTGTTTTTGTAGTAAGACTAATTTTTTTTGTTGCAAATAAATTTGAACCCATGCATTTTTGGGGTAAAAATTCCATTTTTTCA